TCCCTGGCATTGTGAGTCAGCAGCACTAACCACTGAGCCACCATGCCATCCAACCAGGGTTTAATTAATTTGCAGAACAGGCTGAAGGGCCCTGAATGTGGACCCAAACATAGGCCATGGACTGCAAAACTAAAATTATGAATGTTGACTGACAGATCTAGAAAATAAAGTTATACATCAATATCTGAGATTTTTCAAATTTTCAGTATATTTAAATCTGAGGTACATAAATAATGAGGTAGGTTAAAAAAGATTGCTACCTATAAAATAAGCAGACACCAGTGCAGTGAAGTCGGTGAACAGTTGATGAATAAAGATTTATTTAAAAACCTGGAAACCCACTACAAGCCTGGTGCATCACAGGAGCCTGTGTTTGCCACCCCACTGCTTAACAATTCCTCACAAGCTGTTCTGCTCCAAACCACTCTCAAGGTAGAGGAAGCTGCCCTGGCTGTATTGGACCAGGGCAGTCTCTAGCAAGAGTGCAGAGAGGGTCAGTGGCCCTCATAAACATTCCGGTGCTGAAGGGAACGAAAATTGTCCACAAGGGGTTTGTGGTACTATCTACTCACGGCAAACTGGCACTTATTGGAGCATTATCCAGTGAGGTGCCACCGTATGACTGCGCAGATATGTCACATAGGACAACTGCCAGCTACTCTCAGCATGTCTGATGTGGACTGAGGGACACACAGTCACTCATCTTCTCAATGTTCTCTCGTGATTCCTGCACACTGTGCTGTATAATCTCTTACTCAGTGGGGTCCAGGGTCTAGTATGGTTACAAATGTACATAAAGCTGTCATGCATCTGTTGCCATTGTACTCAGTCCTTCTCTTTGCAGGTGGACAATCACTCATAACTGGAGGTAACTGATGGAGAGATGCTATACAAACAATCACCGTCTTTGAAAAGAAGGCTGCTGAGCTGGTATACGGTGTCAGTGACCAGTCCCGCACAGATGGGAAGCTCAGAATTTCTCAATGATGAGGAACCATGGCCGCCTGTTCGTCTCAGATTTGTAGGCTATCTCACATGTTGGCTTACCTAAATGATGATGCATCTCCACCAACTAATTATTTCTCATCTCCTCTACAAAACCAGTGGCCAACAGGAAAATAAATGTGCACTACCTTCCCAAAGTAGCAGCACCCTTCTGCTCAGCTCTTAGCATGGTGTCTCTGGTGCGGCATTCCCCTGTACACTCCAGCATCGCAGAGCCATTAACCAGAGTGGTCTCAGGCAAGTGAGGAGGCAAACTCTCTCCTGGTTGGAGTCATACCTGGCACAGGTATGGCAGCACAGCGGCTCAGTGGGTTAGCATTGCTGCCTCACAGCGCCAGGGAACCAGGTTCAATTCCACCCTTGGGCGACTGTCCGTGTGTAGTTTGCATGTTCTCCCCGTGTCTGCGTGGGTTTCCTCCGGGTGCTCCGGTTTCCCCCCACAGCCCAAAGATATGCAGGTTAGGTGGATTGGCCAGTGTTCAGGGATGTGTCAGTTAGGTGCGTTAGCCATGGATAGGAAATGGATCTGGGTGGGATGCTGTTTGGAGGATCGGTGTGGACCTGTTGGACAAATGGCCTGTTTCCACACTGTATGGACTCTGTGATTTACGTAGAAAGATGGTTGTGGTTGTTGGAGGTCAATTATCTCAGCTCCAGGGCATCTCTGCAGGAGTTCCTCAGGGTAGTGTCCTAGGCCCAACCATCTTCAGCTGCTTCATCAATGACCTTCCCTCCATCATAAGGTCAGAAGTTGGGATGTTCACTGATGATTGCACAATGTTCAGCACCATTCGTGACTCCTCAGATACTGAAGCAGTCCATGTTCAAATGCAACAAGATCTGGACAATAACCAGGCTTGGGCTGACAAGTGGCAAGTAACATTTGTGCCACACAAATGACAAGCATAGACCATCTCCAATAAGAGACAATCTAACTACTACCCCTTAACATTCAATGGTGTTACCATCACTGAATCCCCCACTATCAACATAGGCTACCTCCTACAAGTCAAAGTACCCACCTGCTTCAAGAAGACCACCATCATCCCAGTGCCTGAGAAAGCCCATGCAACCTGTCTTAAAGACTACTGTCCAGTAGCTCTGGCCTCCATAATCTTGAAGTGCTTCAAGAGGCTGGTCATGGCCTACATTAACTCTAACATCCCAGTCTGCCTTGATCCTCTACAATTTGCCTACCGACGTAACGGGCTCACAACGGATGCCATTTCCCTCATCCCTGGAACATCTAGACAACAAGGACACCTGTGTCAGACTTATCGACTACAGCTCCGCCTTCAACACCATTATCCCCTCCAGACTGATCTTAAAACTCCGAAACCTAGGTCTTGGTTCCGCCCTCTGCAACTGGATCCTCAGCTTTTTGACCCACAGACCACAATTCGTGAGGATGGGTAACTGTCATCTCCCCCACGATAGCAGTCAACACTGGAGCCCCCCAAGGATGTGTCCTCAGCCCCTTACCGTACTCCCTGTACACCCACGACTGTGTTGCCAAATTCTGAACAAACCACATCGACAAGTTTCCTGATAGCACCACTATAGTAGGATGGGTATGAAACAACGATGTGTCAGAATACAGAAAGAAGATGGTGCATGTGGTGACATGGTGACATGAGAACAACCTCTCTCTCAATGTCAGCAAAACTAAAAAACTGATCATTGACTTCAGGAAGAAAGGAGAACACACCTCCTTCGACATCAACAGAGCAGACATTGAGAGGGTTGAGAGTGCCAAGCTCCTAGGAGTGACGATAATGGACAACCTGCCCTGGAATTCCCACATGGATGGGACAGTCAAGAAGACACAACAATGCCTCTTCTTCCTCAGGCGGCTCAGGAAATTTGGCATGTCCATAGGGTCCCTCACCAACTTCTACAGATGCACCAGTGAAAGCTGTCTGGGTGCATAACGGCCTGGTACGGCAACTGCTCTGCTCAGGAACGTAAGAAACTACAGGAGGTTGTGTGCACAGCCCAGACCAACACGGAAACCACCCTCCCATCTATGGACTCCATTTACATTTCTCACTGCTGTGGAAATGCTGCCAACGTCATCACAAACCCCTCCCACCCCGGTAATGCTCTCCTACAACCTCTTCCATCAGGGAGAAGATACAGAAACTTGAACACACGCACCAGCAGGTTCAGGAACATCATCAGGCTGATAAATAGACTCTCTAACTTCAAGTAATAATGATCTTGCTAATGTTGATCTCACTTAGCATACGCCCTGTGCGATGTAACCTGCATGCATCCGTCCAAGTTTTTTCTTCACCCTATGATCTGTACGTCCTTGCTTACTACGATCAGCCTGTGCTGCTCTTAAACAAAGCTTTGCACTGTATTTAGGTGCACATGAGAATCAAATCAAATCAAATCAAATGACTTGCCTGCATGAGTGCAGCCCAACAAAACTCAAGAAGCTTGACACCATCCAGGACAAACCAACACACTTGATTGGCACTACATCCACAAGCATCCACTCCCCCCACCACCAATGCTCAATAGCAGCAGTGTCTACTACCTACAAGATGCATTGCAGAAATTCGCCATCCTGACAGGACCTTCCAAACCCATGACCACTTCCAGCTAGAAGAACAGGGACAGCAGGTACATGAGAACACCACCACTTGAAAGATCTTCTCCAAGCCACTCACCATTTTGACTTGGAAATTTATTGCCATTCCTTCACTGGGTCAAAATTCTGGAATTCCCTCTCTAAGTGCAACACATAGATTGCAATGGTTCAAGAAAGCAGCTCATCACCACCTTCACAAGGGCAACTATGGGCAGGCAACAAATGATGGACAGTCAGTAATGTTCTTGTCCCCATTAGTGTAAAAACACATCAGCCCTTATTGCTCTCTGTGTAGCAGTTACATATTAGTCTTCAACATGAGTTCTTATTACAGATGATTGTAATTTTTAAACTCCTCTAACAAAATAACCTCAATCAGAGCATCACATGTGGTTTTAGCTTCTGATGCCTGTATCCATTCTTGGCAAATGGGACTAGATCAGATTAGGGCATCTGGTCTGCACAGACGAATTAGACCGAAGGGTCTGTTTCCGCACTGTGTGACGCTATGACTCTGTGACATTATTTGGCTTAACTCTTTCAAATTCAATGCAGGGTGGTCCAGGATGCTTCCCTGCAGTATCGTGCACAGTTCTGAACAGCATACTAGCAGGAAAATGTGAATACATTGTGTGCAGAAAAGGGATTATATTATTCAATGAAAACGTTATCAAGAATGGTTCCAGGAATGAAACACTATCAGTTGTGAGGGAAGAGTGGAGAAGTTGGGACAGTTTTCCTTGGAGAAAAGAAGGCCAGTAGGAGATAAGATGGAAGCTGTTACAGTCATGAAGGGTCTGAACAGAGTGGATCAGGAGATAATGTTCCTGCTCTTAAATGGATCTCGACCGGTTGGGGGAGGGGTAGTTTTTAAGTGTTTGGGGAAAGAAACCAAATGCGAGGTGAGGTAAAAGAATTGAACCCCTCCCGCCCAGCGTATCACTCCTAATCTTCCCACGTTCAGAGATAGTAAGAGTTGCCGATGCTGGAGTCAGAGATAACACAGTGTAGAGCTGGAGGAACGCAGCAGGCCAGGCAGCATCAGAGGAGCAGGAAAGTTAACGTTTCGGGTCTTAGACCCTTCTTCAGAAAAATGGTCTTCTGCCGTGCTCTCCTCCATCATGAAGGGTCTAGGCCCGAAACGTCAGCCTCTCTGCTCCTATGATGCTGCTTGGCCTGCTGTGTTCATCCAGCCCTGCACCTTGTTGTCTCGGATTCTCCAGCATCTGCAGTTCCTACTATCTCTCCTCCAGCTCTACCCCGTGTTATCTCTATTCTGCTAGAGATCGTTCTCGCCTCTTTCACTTTCAGTCGTTTGGGTGCGCTATATAAACGTCTTTGTCAACAGCTATTAGAAACCATCAACAGCGCTGCTGCCAAATCCGGGTCTCTTAAGGCTGTTCGGGTAAATTTCGCAAACACTCAGCATTCAGCTTCCGCGTTGACAGTTCGAGCCGCAGGGACGGCGTTTAAACGTAACCCTGTATTCAATCCATTTCCCCGCTTCTGTTTACAAGGGGGTTCGGGGTTAAGAAGAAGAACTGCAAACCAGGAACAAAAACAGAAGTTGTTGTGGAAGAAAAGGTCAGCAGGATTGGCGGCATCTGCTAAGAAGAATTTTAAAAAATCAGAGTTGACGTTTCGGCTCCGGCGACCCTTTGTCAGAAGACGAATTCCCGGCACCTTCAAAACACAAAGTAAGTCAAAAGCGTTCTGTTTCGAAAAGTTAACCTTGCTGAGCAAAATTAAAAGGATTCGACAAGTTAATATAAGCAGGATCTACCCGCCAGAGAACAAACAAAAGGCGCAGAGATCAAGCAGTTTGAAAAATACACATTACGTCGACACAACTGCACGTTGTCAATCCTGTACATGATATTTGTATTTAACGTATGATTTCCGAGTTATAACAGAGAAAGGGGAGGGAGAGAGGGCAGAGAGAGACATAGAGAGGACCAGATGTGTTTGGGAGAGGCAGAGACGGAGTAGAAAAGATAGACGATGAACATTGATTGAGAGAAATAAGCAGACCTGTAAAGAAGGTTTTTTTTAATATATATATCAGAGAGAGAAAGAATGACCTACATTAACATTCAGAAGATTTATTGCAGGTAAAGAAAATGTCTTCAAAAAGAAATCCTGCAAACAACAGAAAAGATTACCGTATTTGGAGAAGGTAAGATATTCCTAGGAACGTACCAATGGCTAAGCGCTTTGTGAAAGTTACAACTTTCTAAGGGTTGGAAGGTGGAGGGGTTGTAGCTCAATGAACGAATGATTTGGATGAAAGATTGAAGAACCCGTTGGGACATTATTCAGACGGGAGCAGTAATGGCCTTCGGTTTCTAACCTGTTAATATTTTACTGTCTTTCAGGGTGTGCGAGCTATTCCTGGCGGTCAGCGTTTCCGCCTTTTTGGATCGTTGTATTGAAGCTAAATATGGAAAACAGAGCTGACAGGGGAGATGTAGTGGAAACCGACACTGACTGGATGCATCTAAAACACGAACCCCGGGAAAGAGCAGGGCGTTAAGAGTAGGAGGGGGAAGTACGTGTTGGCTAGGGCGCTGGGAATAGTGAAAAAGTTACCATTCAGGGGGTGCGAGAGAGAGGGAGGGGGGCAGGGAATTGAAAGGAGGTGTCTCAGCCGTTCACACACTCCAGTGGGACTCGGAGTCGAGAGGGAAGCGGGAGAAGGCACTTTCAGGTTAAAAGTGGCATTCGTAGTTTTATTGTACCCGTGTGTACCGGGCACAGCCAGATGCAACAACATTCTGGGGGATAAATGAAACGGAGATCTGGGATGCTGAACGTGGTAGAGCATTGCCGGTAGAGAGGGAGAAAGCATACGCGAAAAGCATTACAACGTGAAATAGAGATAGTAGGAACTGCAGATGCTGGAGAATCTCAGCTAACAAGGTGTAGATCTGGATGAACACAGCAGGTCAAGCAGCATCAGAGGAGCAGGAAAGCTGACGTTTCGGGCCTGGACCCTTATGCAGAAAAAAAATGTGAAATGGTTTCTTGAGGAGGGCAGATGTAAAACATGTTTTTGTGGAGAGACTGTAAACAAGAGCAGACGCAGTTTGGAGATCAGAAGACAAAACAGGAGAAGGGAAGGGTTTTGTGTGTTGAAAACATTCCGGTCGGTGACGCTGTGATCCGCCTAATGTTTCAAACTGCTCCCTGTTCCGCATTCTGTTTCCCAGACCCTGGGCATTGCCCAGTTTAGCTGTTGCAATGCACACCCGCTAATTGTCTCGCATGGCTGGATTTATTGTCCAAAAATAAACGGACAATATAAGCTGATCTGTCCGCTACTACGCGATAAATGTGAGATTCAGCGTGTGTGGAGGGACAGCTTGGAAGGCGATGAGCCCTTCGGCGATTCATATCCCAGTTCAAACAAATGACCACCATATTCAATGCCTAAATTTGGAGAGCTCATACTTGGATGTCTCAGTCACACTTTTTCAATCCTCCCGCTGCTTTATCGGCCTCGAGTGTAAAAAATAAAGTATTTTTTAACGTAAAACTGCTCGTTTCGTTTTCTTTGAGTGGCTGGATTTCAATTTGTACACAAAAACAGAAATGGAAGGAGGAATTCACAGGTCTGGCAGCAACTGTGGAGAGAAAGCAAGAGTTAACGTTTGGGGGCAAGCGACCGTTCTTCACAACTGATTGTAGTTGGGGAAAAGGTAGTCTATATGCTGGAGCTAAGGGGTGGCTGGTGATGTAAAGGAGTAAGGGTTAGGTGGAGAGGGAGACAAAGACAGATGGACAGGCAAAGGGCTGGATAATAGTGAGCCAGAGAGAGAAGAGCTGATAATAGGGACTGTAAGTGGGTTGAGAGATAGTAGG